GCTCCCTGTCCTCCTGCAGAGTTGAACTCTGTAAGGTTCTACTGCAGGTTCCAGCTGCCCTTCCCTTGAAGATAGTCCAGGTTCTGATGGGAGGTGATGATCCCTCCAACTTACCAAGCACGGTGGTCTGGTGTGCCTTTATTGCAGAGATTCTCTTCATTTTTCCAGTGGGCTTCAGTTTTCATCAAGGAGCCTCAGAGAGGCCCTCTTTCTGTTGCTCACTTCTGCTGTATCTTCTGGAGCTCAGGACAATGGCCTTTATGAACCCCTGTGCCTTTATAGTGTGGAACCAGGTAGCTGCACAGCCAGGAGCCCAGAGGTGGGGCGGGGGGCACCTGCAGGCACGTTAAACTGGTCGCTGCGGGGCAGGGCCTCATTCCAGTTTCTTTATCTTTCTAAAATTAAAAAAAAATCAGTGCTGGGGATGAACTTAGGGCCCTCACACTGAGCTACATCCTCAGCACCTTTAAAATTTTTATTTAGAAACAGGGTCTTGCTAAGTCACCAAGTGACCTAGGCTGGGCTTAGCTTGCAACCCCGCTGCCTCAGCCTCCCAGAGTGTTGGGATTACAGAGATGTGCACCATGCCTTGTTTAGAGGATTAAAAAATCTATGCAAATTTTGTTTAGGCCTTAAAAATCGTAACTCTTTGTTTGGTTTGTTTGTTTGAGACAGAGTCTTGCTATGTAGTTCAGGCTGGTCTTGAACTCACTATGTAGCCTAGGCTTGCCTCAAACTTGAGGTGATCCTCCTGCCTCAGCCTCCCAAGTACTGGGATTACAGGCATGCACCATCAGGCCTGGCTAAAAATCATAACTTTCAAACTTTTTGTAACTTTTCAACTATTTGCACTATTTTGGAACTTATTTCCAAGTCTTCTAATTATTGTAAGAGAGGAATCACATTTTTTATTTTCTTTTTAAGTCCACATAGGTAACCATGCAAGAAGGGCTTGCAGAGTAGCACAGTAGTAGAAGGTGAGCTTAGCATGGGTGAGGCCACCCTGGGTTCCGTCTCTGGCACCCAAAAAGCCAGGACTGTGGGAGTCACACACACTCTTTGGCTTGCATCTTAGTTACTTGCTTTCTTCGAATTTGTTTCCTTATCTGTAAAAGGGATAGTGCCACACATTTGACTGGGCTTCTATGAAGTTTACACATAATACACATGAAATACAGAATACAGGACACATTGGGAAAGTTACCAGTGGGTGAGTCCGAGAAAATACCAGTAGCGGGTACTCAAATGAGCGTGGTTAGCGTCATGATGTATGATGTATCATTATAATAGAAATGCAACGTGGTTAAGAGCCCAGCCCTGGAAACTACTGCTTGGGTTCAAATCTGGGGTTCTGGCACTTCTCTGTGGTGGCTTTTTATGTTTTGTCTTTTTGAGACAAAGTCTCACTATGTGGTCCAGACTGGCCTTGATGTCAGGGGTGACCCTCCTGTCTCAGCCTCCTGGGTGCTAGGATTACAGGCATGCAGCACCATACTCGACCTTTCTGGGTTGACTTAGGCTATGTCTTTTATTCTCACCTTGCCTGAGAATGGAGATAGTAGTAATGTTAATTTCAATGCTGTTTTAAAGATGAGTTGATGTGTGTGTGTATCAACATGTATGTCTCAGTGTCATGCCTACACATAGAAGGAAATATATATATTTGAGTGCCAAAGCTAAATGAATGGAAAATTGTTTAGAGCAATTGAACATATTGTCTTGATTCCCTCCAAAGTCAACCTGGGAATAAATAGCCAATAGCTAAATTATTGTTAGCACGGTGCTGACTTTTAAAAATGTGTCTCCCTGTGCTCTCACTTCAGCCCCCTCTAATTTAGAAAGTCAACCATGGCTTCTGTGAGGAAGGTGACGGAGAAGCGGCATAACCCGGTGGACAGCATCTGCAGAAAAATCCGAGCCATTCACAGGAGAGAGGAGATTTCGGATCCGGGTCAACACATGATCAAACACCAGGCCAGCAGCCTTGCTCCCCTTCCTGTGCCAGACCCTTGTTGCTTAAATTCTGAGGGCTCAGAGGCCTCCTTTTTGAGTCCTGAAACGCTGTTGCTGAGCACCCCATCTGTCTCTAACCTCCCATCTCCCGAGAAGGCCACGAACTCGGGCTGTCCTACGAGCACTTCAAGGCTGAGTTCACAGAGGAATCAGAGTTGGGCATCCTTGGTCCGGGAAGGGGTCCGCTTCCGCCTATTTGACCTCGACTCCATGTCTGGGCAAAGTTGCTGGAGTTTCACTCCTCAGGATTCAGTGGTGAGGAAGTTAACTCTGAATGAAGATGGTAAATAATCACTTTAAATGGTTTTTCTTCCAATAAAATATAAGCATTATCTACTTTTAGAATATCTGAACCAAAAAGAAAATCTACGTTATTAAAGTTTTAATGGGAGCATCCATGTGCCCTTTTCTGTTTTAAGTATGTTTATTTCTGCCCACCCCACCTTGAAAAAGATCTTATACGTGAAAAGTATTTTCTGTGTTTCTCCTTAAAATCTGGATAGGAATTTTAGAGAGCCTTTGCAATCATAATCATGTGCATTTCTCTACTGATGTGAAAATAAACTTTATTCAAGCCTGATTGGAATGTTACGATGGGAATATATAGATATAGGGGAGTTAAAATTCAGACAGTTCCTAGATGTCTTACTGAAACAATCCTCTTGATGTTTTCTTAAGAGCAAAACTAATAGGGCTGGGAATTTAGCGCAGTGGCATGGTGCCTGCCTCACAAGTGCAAGGTCTTGAGTTTGATCCCTGGTACCGCAAAGAAAACAAAACAAAACTCACATGTAAGAAAATGGGGGCCCTACTGTATATGCCGAGGAGGTGGCTTGGGAGGAGGCTGTACAATCTGCAGGCTGATTAAAAATTTAGGGAACTCTAGGAGATTGCTGATGGAGTCCCATATGTAATAGTCTATAAAAAACAAAGTATAAAATGGCACCTAATCTGTATGGCTACTTTCTGCTTTCCCTCTACTTTTCTTTTTCCTTCCTTCTTTCCTCTTCTCCTTCTCCTCCTCCTCCTCTTTCTTTTATTCTTTTTGTGGTACTGGGCATTGAAACAAGATCTTCACTCAGCTATACTCTCATACCTTTTTTTATTTATTTTAAGACAAGGTCTCACTAAATTGGACAGGCTGGGTGAGGATTACAGGGGTGCACCACCATGGCTAGAATATGTATATAGATAATTTAGAATATATATATAGATAATTTAGAATATATATATATAGTTTAGTTTAGAATATATATATATATAAAATTTTTTTTTTGGTATGGAGGATTGAACTCTGATCCTTGTGCTTGCAAGGCAGGTGGCAGAACCACTGAGCTAAATCCCTGGCTTTGTATTTTTCATTTTTGAGACAGGGTCTTGCTAAATTGCCAAGCTGGCCTTGAACCTGCATCCTCCTGCCTCAGCTTCCCCCTCAATCCTATTGTAGTTGAAATTACAGGTGTAATTCCACCACGCCTGATCCCTCTCTTTTTCTTAGCGATATTTCTCTTTGGGTTCTACTAGTTGTCTTTTCACAGAGCGCTTTAGATATGACGGGGAAAAACACTTTTCTCCCTCTCCGTCTCTTCTCCCCCCACCCTTTCATAAGAGAAAAAGGAAAAATGAATAAGAGACCTTTAAAGAGAACTTTATTTTTACTTAAAAAGACTTTTTTGTAGTGTTGGGGCTTGAATCCAGAACCTTGTACAGACTAGGTTACTGCTCTCCCTCTGAGTTACACCTCCAACCCTCCAATACCTGGCCCACCTTGTTTTTTTTTGTTTTTGTTTTTGTTTTCGTTCTGGGGATTGAACTTGCAAGGCAGGTGCGGCGCCACTGAGCTAAATCCCGGGCCTCCAATGCCCTTTTGATGGGTCCATTAAACTTATATAATCAGTAGTGTGGGCTATTGTTCGGTAAACTAATTTTTCTTTTACAAAATTAATCTCATTAGAAATGAATCTTTGTAGCCCAGAAAAGCCTCTGGATTTACACGTTTTCTTTTGGTAGGATGGAAATCAGGAGCTGACGGGGGCCAAGATGTACCACATGGCGCCCACGGGGCCAGGGACAGAGAAATCCTCACCAGTATTTTTCGTGCGTGTGACACAGAAGGCAGGGGTAAGGGGACAGCTACCTGCACAAGGGTTGGAGAGTGCTCACTGACTCATCTGTACCTTCCCTTGCCGGGAGAGGGGGATGACTGTGGGGCTTTGTCTGGGTTTGCACATGGTGAGTGCAACATAATTTGGAAGTAAGATTGGCTGCTCCGCTCTTAGTTATTTGTTTGTAATTTCTTTGTGCCTGTTTTGCTTGTTTCAACAGTGATTTGGATGATTTTTTTAAGCTTATCATTTAACCCTAATCATTGCAGGGTGCTACTAAATGTCATGGTTTGTTACCCCACAAAAATATACATATGTACACTTAAGTCTATAAAACCACTCTACAAGTATAGTTGAACATTTTTTGCAGCTTTTAGATTTTTCACTTCCAGGTTTTTTTTTGAGATGTGTTGTTTTTAAAATTTCCAAAAGTAATTTTTAGTATGTGATTCATTCTGTGTATTAAAATATATTGATAAGCAAAAAGAAAGGGACATTTAATCAGAAATCCTGTTTGCCAGAGTAGCTATTTTTTAGTGATTTCTTACATAGTTTTCCATGATTTCCTCTGTAGAGATGACTTTGGATTAACTTTTTAAAAATTTTAGTGGGGCCAGGGATGTAGCTCAGCTGCACTGTGCATGCCTGGCAAGTGCAAGGTCCAGAGTTCGATTCCCAGTGCTGGAAAAAAAGTAAAAATCGTAGAACATTTCAAATGTATACAGAAGTAGAGAAAATGCAGACCCCTTAAGTGTGTGTCAGTACCAATTGTGTCCCATTTCTAACCCTACCCATTTCCCTCTCTTCATTCTGGATTATTTAAGGCAAATCTTTAGACATCACATTATTTCATTTGTAAATATTTTAGTACATATTTCTAAAATATAACTGCTTTTAAATAAAACTACAATGCCATTAATATGACTGAAAAGTAATGTACTTTCTTAATATTATGAAGTACCGTGTCAGTATTCCAAACTCATTTTTGTGATATGTGTATTTTGTACTTTTTCTTAAACAGTTTTATTGCTGAAATCAATATCCAAGAAAGGTTTGTGTTTTGCATTTGGTTGCCTTACCTAGTTTCCTGCCCTCTCTCTCTCTGTTACAATTTAAAATGTTGAAGAAATTGGTTATTGTCTTTTCCAGTTTCCCACAATAGAAATTTGGTGGTTGTATTTGACCATTTCTGTGTCCTCTATATTTAGAGGTTTGTTGAGCTAAAAGTTTGGAGCTTTGGTTTTTGGTTTTTTGGGGCATGAGACTTCTGCATAGATGATATCTTAGTTACTTTCTCATTGCTGAGACACAATACCCGGCCCCCACAAGTTAAAGGAGGAGAGGTTTATTTCAGCTCACAGTTTGTAGAGGTTTCAGTCCATTGTCGGCTGGATCCAAGGCAGAGTGGCATGGAAGAGGGCATCGCAGAGAAAGAACTCACTCAGCTATAAAGCACACCCACCTCTAAGCCTATCTCTGGACTAATCCTGTGTCACACCTGTGATCTGTCACCTCCCAGAAGCTCCACCTATGAGTGCACAGGCCTTTGAGGGGGAGGGGGATCTAGATCTTAGCCTTAACTGATGGTGTTAGGTTTTCATCAGAAGGTAACTAGAAGGCCTAGATCTGTTCTTTTATTAGGTATTGTAAGTGGTGATAATCTATTATTCTTTCCTAACTTATCAGGTGGAATACTTGATGAATGACAGATTCTACTCTGCTATCTGGAATCTTTACAGTATTCTGAAGGAGAATCAGGATAAAACTTATTGTGTCCTCTTTTTCCTATCAGCTTTCAAAATATTGCCTTGTTTCTATAGTGTCTTTTAAATGTCACCAATGGTGGAGTTTTGTGTGAATTATTTTGAACTGATTATTGTGGCATATTCTGTATGTATTTCGGGGGAGGTGCTGAGACAAGGGCTCAATATGTAGTTCAGGCTGGTCTTGAACTCGCTATGTAGCCCAGGCTGGCTTTGAACTCGCAGTGATCCTCCTGCCTCAGCTTCTAAGGTGCTTCGATTAGAGTTGTGTTCTGCCATACCCAGCTATTTTAATATATTTGCTATGTTTTAACTATTGCAATTTTTATTGATTCTCATCCCATAGGAATTTTTTCATGTGGTTATAGAGTCATTGGGGGGTAACCTTTCATTTTGATATAATTTTAAACTAACTGAAAATGTGTAAGAAAAGTACAAATAATTTGCATATGTCCTTTATGTAGATTCACAAATTATTTAATTTTGTCCCATTTGCTTTATTATTATGCATTTCCTTTTCTCTTCCCCTTCTCTCAATCACTTTGAGAATAAGTTGCAGAAATTGCCTTTTTATCTAAACAACATTAGTGTATGTCCTCCCACCGCCACCCTAGGCTAGGCAAGCGCTCTAGCACTGTGCTACAATCCTATCAGTAAGTATTTCTATAAACAAGGGCGTTTGCTCAGATGAACATAGTACAGTTATCAAACTAAAGATATTTAACACTGATGATTTTTGCTTTTTGTTTTTGTTTTGTTACTTGGGATTGAACCAAGGCCTTTACACTGAGGTATATCCCATCCTTTTTTAAAATTTTTGAGACAGGATCTTACTAAGTCACTCAGCTGCTCAGACTGGGTTTAAGTTTGCTATTCTCCTGCATCAGGCTTCCAGAGTGCTGGAATTACAGAGGAGCACCACTATATCCAGCAAAATGTCAGGATTTTTAACTTTGATCACTTGGTTAGTGTGTCTGCCAACTTTCCCCATTGTAAAGTTCCTATTTTTTCCTTTGTAGTTATTAAGTCTTTTATGGGAAGATACTTTGAATTCATGAAAGCATCCTGTTCCTCATCAAACCCTTATGGGTCTTGTAGGACTTCTTTCAGGATTCTTGGTGTCCTATAGAAAGAACTGGACAAGACACACAGAAAAGGCAGCAAAAGTGTGTATTTAAGGGAGAGAAAAGGTGTGCTAACAGGGCAAGGGCGGCCAATGAACGAGCTTACAACAGGCTCAGCACTCCTGAGGCTAAGGGAAAAAGGGGTCTTTGGTATCCTATATTCCAGGACTGGCTTCACCTTCAGGCAAATAAAGCACTGGGATGGTTGTCCTAGCAATACTCAGCCTGGTGGCAGATTTAAACTGCCCTATCAGAAGCCTGGCTTGGCTCCCTGTCAGACATAGGTGAAGGATTGAAAAGATCCCTGTTCTGATTGGTCCTGCAAACAGTGACAGATTTAAAATACTGCTTTCTGAATGGTTCCCAGTATAGTTGCTTTGTTGGGGTGGAGTCATTTTGGGTCCTGTGTTCTGCGCCTGTCCTCTGGGTTTTTATGACCTTTGACATGTTGTGCCCAGCTGATTGTTGGTTTGCCTTAGCCCTAATCCCCTATCTCAATAGGAATTTTAAAAATCACTATCATTCTGTTTATTTCTCATCAATCTATTATAAGGGTTTTCTCGTCTCACTGTTTAATATCTCTGAATTTCTGGACTTATACTAAGTAATTTATAATGTTACCATCAATATTTATGTTGATGCTCCAATTGTCCTGGAGTTGGCCATCAGGATATCCTTCAAGCTGGCTCCTGTTCCTATTTCTTTAGATGTCCCAGGTGCCAATTCTTTTGATATGGTCTCATGGTTTTTAACAGGCTCCTTGTTTTTCTTGGTATTACAGAATTCTCTATGTTAATCTTGTACATTTTGTGCCAGTCTAATGTATTCCTTATGGATGTGTGGGAATGTTTCTGTCTTGTTTTATAATTCATTTTTTCTCACTTGATAATTTTTTTTCCTGTACTGGGAATTAAACACAGAGAGCACTGAGGCATCCTAAGGCCTTTTGATTTATTTAAAAAATTTTGAGGTAAGTTATCACTAATGACCTGCAATCTTTGAACTTGCAATTCTCCTACATCAGCCTCCTGAGTATCTGGGATGGTAGGCATGTCCCACCAGACGGCATGTGGTAACTTTGAATATTTATAAGCATCCATTAATTTTTTATTTAGCATACCAGGAAAATGACTGAATTTTGTTTTATTAACACATTACTTATACATACTAAGGGATTCAGTGTGATATTTTTGTACAAGCATACGACACATACTGATCAAATCCAAAGCCAACCATCCTTTTTCTATACTTTCCTCCTACATTATTCCCAAACCCTAGTAATCACTATTCTATTTTCAGGTGAACTTTTTTAAGCTTCCACATGAGAGACAGAACATGTACTACTTATTTTTTGGAGTCTGGCTTATTTGATTTTATGTACTGTCCTCCAGTTCCATCTATTCTGCTCCTAAGGGTAGGATTTCCTCCTCCTCTCAGGCTAATACTCCCTTGCATACATACTGTAGATACCATTTTCTCTTTATCCATTCATCTGCTAATGAGCACCTCCACTGATTCCATGTGACCTGTCCCTTTGCTGTGTTGATTTTATTTCCTTGGTTGGGATAGCTGGATCGTATGGTAAAACTAATTTTAGTTGTTTTGAAGAACCTCAATTCTGTTCTCCAGAATGGCTGTATTAACCTGTCTTCCAACCAGATACTTATATAGGGCTTCCTTTTTCTTAGCCAAGGATGATGTGTATGCCTGTAATCAATCTCAGCTACCCTGGAGGCTGAGGCAGAAGACAGATTGCAAGTTTGAGCTCAGCCTGAGCAACTTAGTGAGAGCCTATATCAAGATTAAAAAATCAAACCAAATGAAAAGGCCTGGGGAGGTAACTCAGTGGCAGAGTGCCCCTGGGTCAATTCCTGGTACTAGGGGGAAAATATTCACATCCTTGACAGCATTTGTTTCTTTATTTGAATAGTCCTTGTGGGGCAGTGAAATGGAATCTCATTGTAGTTTTGATTTATATTTCCCTGATGGCTAGTGACTTGAGCATTTTTTCATATTGGCCATTTGTATTTCTTTTCTTTTCTTTTTTTTTTTTTGGGTACTGGGGATCAAACTCAGGTCCTTGCACCTGCGAGGCATGCGGCGGAACCACTGAGCTAAATCCCCGGCCT